TCAGGTGATTCCATCTTGCAAATAGACCAACAGCAGTGATTTATTAAAAGGCTGCCTTTTGAAAGGTGTTCTGAATGTAACCTACAGCCACTGCTATTTCATCAAATATATCCCATCCCTCTTTCTGTCTGTGAATATCTCTTGCTAACCCGAAGTTATATCTAAATAGAATTATTTTAGTAATTCTTTTTCTAGTCCAAACTGTGTTGGCACTGAAATACGGGGCAGAGTAACTGACTTATTTCTATGGTTATATCAACAATAACCTTAAGCAAGTTTAGACAAATGCAGTGTAGATTAAGAGGGATATTCTACTTCCAGCTATATCAGTTAAATTTTTTAAAATCCTGTTACTTATGAATTATTGTGTATGTCCAAACTACCGAACTGCCAGTTCTCCAGTGCTGGGATTGTCTTCCTGGCTACTTTGTGGTATTGCCATAATGCCTGACACTCTGGCTCTGACTGGTGCTGCCTGGCTGGCATCACACAGCACATAAGCAGAATGAATGTAATTTACAGAACAGGTCATTTGTAGCCACTTGTGTGTCAAATTCAGCACTGATAGACAATCTTGTATATGTGTGGGTCATCTGGCACTTAAGATGTCAATCCTTACGAAACCAGTTTGACATTTTACACTTTTTCTTGATGGGTAACAAATTAATACATGTTATGCTGCATTGATACTTGCTCATTTCTCCTGAACAATTTATACCTGGTTTGCATCATTGTTTAATCTGGTCCACTATGAAGCAGCACAGAACCATGTTGTTTTCTCTCTAGTTCTCTAAAAATGTACATCCTTAAAGGAAAATCCAGGGGAACCAGTTGCACATGTTTATGGTGAAGTGGGGCAAGTTCGTAAACAGTTAATAATTTGATTCAAATGAAAGCCTGAAATACTCATATGAGTTAGAATTAGAACTGGGGTTTACAATTTTTATAGTTATGATTATTATAAGCTAATAGATGGACATAGGCTGTATCTTATTAACTTTATATTTTCCCCACTTTATTAAAATAGTCAAAAAATAAATCCTGCTTTCTATATCAAGCTAGCATTTGAATACAAGTGAATTTTAGTTTCTCTTTCATAATCCCTTCTGTGTTTAGTTTATTCATCAAAAAGACATTTACCTCTTGTGTCATCTACTTTCTTTTTCTTTGCAGTTCAGAGCAGCTATAGATTTTACAAACAGCATAGCAGAGGGCTGTTGCTTTTACTTTACTTTGCTCAGCAGCAGGACTGGGGAGAGAAATATCAGGAGTTTTCAGGATATGCACAGTAAAACCACTCAAAAAACTAAAAAAATCAGAAATCTTTGGTCATCTTCTGTCAGCACCAGAAATAACAGAAGGTTATCCAGAATTCATGCTTTATATGTCTGAACATGGAGCAGGCTTGCTGAAGTCCACAGTTTAAATTAGTCTGAAGCCATCCTGTGGCAGCTCTGCCCTCCTGATGCTCTGCTCTTGCACACCCCTGCTCATGCTGGATCTCATCCCTCGCTATTGTGGTGCCTCTGACACCCAGCTTGTTCTGACTGAAGACAAGGATCCTCCATACGAATCTCCTTGTTCCCGGTTCAGCTTTCATCACTAGTGCCCTTGGTGGAGTTACTGGGGCACTGTCCTCAGCCAGGACTCAGTACCCCGCTCTGCATTACCCAGTGGCAGCCCTCCCTGTGGGGATGACAAAATCTACCACAGCTCTGGAGTTTGCAGAACGATGCACTGAAAAAGGGGGAAGACACAAAGCAGCACTGAAGTTTTATATACTTGCTTTGAACTAATAACTACCAAGGCAAATAAAATTTACAAAATAGCAAATGATGCAAAGCTGACGGGAGCTCCTGTCCACCAGCATACCAAGGGGATAATAAATAAAAAGAAAGCTCATTTTCTATTAGGAGAAGGAAATGTTTCTCCCCGTATATAATGTGTACCAAGGCCAAGAATCGGGCATAATAGGCAAACATGTTACTGTTGATAACTGTAATATTCACAGATGCAATTATTTATGGAAACAATTTGAAAGCGACAAAAAATTTCATGCTTCAGACCTCAAGGCAATATTTATTAGAGACCTAAACCCAAGCATGAATAGTAAACTATGAATTACTGGGTTACTTTCTCCTTTATCAAGCCCCTAATCTATTACATAGTCATCTCTTAAGTCAGCAACATACACCAAGTTTGTCTGAGACAAGTCTTAGTCACATTATTCACCTAAGTTGTCTCATTTACTTTACTAGAACCACTTGAGTGATTAAAGTAAATAGAATTTGGTGGCAAGATTTGCCTCACAAATGCATGTCTCCACCTGATTTTGCTGGTCTCCAGTTACTCCCAGGTTTCTGTGTCTCTGAAACTGTTGTTCCAGATATGAACTCATTAACTGTGTAGAGATGGGGTTTTTTATTCCCTGTTCAGTATTTGATCTCTGTGACTGTAGCTTAGGAATTAATAGGATTTCTTCCTGCTGTATTTTACTGTAAATATGTAGCCAGTTTCTCACAAGTTTCCAGTGTTTCTCCTGATTTCTTCTACTTGTTGGGATTTGCCAGAATACTGCAGTTTCTCTAATACTTGATGGCTTTAAAACATGTCACCACAGTGAAAGAATCAGAAATTTCTAGAATAAAATATTCAATCCGGGGGGGGGAGGGTGGGGGGAAGGGAGGGGGTGGGAAGCAAGTGGTTTTGGTTTTGCCACAAGGAGAATTTCTTTTTTAGAAATGTAAATGAAGATTAAATTAGCTATGAAGGGTTGCAACAGAAGTTTAACATTTATATTCATTAGACAGAGAAGTGATCTGCTGCCCTAGTAATAGGGATATACTTGCTTGTGATGTTTCATTATCACATTTACCATATGTTTCATTATTCACTGCTATTCTTTTGCGTGCAGACGGACAGTAAAAAACAGTAAAGTCGTTACAACAGTGATAACCTGTTTTGTGTTATAGGTAAAATTGGCTTTTTGTGCTGGATATCACTCACCCTATTTCACCCCATTTTCTCTATTTCTAATTTTTCCCAGCACTTTGGTCACTTGCATCTACATTTGCAGGGAGAAGGTGAGGGAGCAGCATTATGGCTACTGTCTTATTGGAAAAATTCCTTAGAGCCACTGCTTGAGCTCATTAGACACTGTCTTAATTTCCAAGCTTTGCAGCCTCTCCCTTCCGTTGACTTTCTGTATTCCCTGACGAATCTAAAAAATATTCAGGTTTTCTTCCTTCTTAACTGCTGTTACAAAAGTGACAGAAGATAAGACTGGTGATAGGACAACAAAATGACACTTCAAAAGAAGCCCAGTCTTAGAATCTGAAGAGCATGCTTCACATGTTTTATGTGTTTCACTCTGTTAGAGCAATTTAGCTCAGAGCAAGACTCTTTAAAGCTTTACCAGAATTGGGCAACATCAGTAGCAATTCAAAGTGTTCTTTAAATGAAGGTTTTTGCTTCCTAGCTCTGCTTTGCTCTCTTTTATATATGATCACCCTTTTATTTATGATTATCAAGAATCAATATTTAAGAGTTGTTTTCTCTAGGCTTACTTTTCACATATGCTAGCCTGGTGATACAGGCTCAGCAGTTCCCAGGTGTTAATAAATTCCTAAGCTTCTCTCTTCACTCTAGAAAGCTGCCACGTAGCCTTATATCAAAAAGCACAACTGGAGAGGCTGACTTCATCACTCCTCAGCCCATCTTTATGTAATGGGAAGAGCAACTCTTCTAGAATCCTTTTTGGATTCAAATAATCCCAATTCCAAAGCTACCTGAGTCACTCTTGCAATGTCAATGCATTTAGTAACACCAGAAAAAGGCATATAGTCATGTAGTCACTCTGCATGTATATATCTTGTTATTTCAGCATTATCAATATCATAGAATTATGGAATCACAAAATGGCCTGGGAAAACATAAAAATTTACTTTATCTTCTTGTAACTATACAAGAAGTTAATTGGACTTGGTTTCTCCATGCAGGAACACAGGCAGACATATCACAATGCATTTTTTTATCAGTTGCTGATTTTATGAATTATGATTATATGTGCTTTGTGAAAAACACTCTTCCATTACAGAAATGTTCTTATTAGTACCAGAAAAGTATAGTGGGCTTAGCCAATTAGAAAATTCAGCTATGTTATATTAATGACTACATATTAATCTCTATGAAATTTCTAAAATTTTGTAAGGAAGCAATATTGGCACAGTTCTGCATCTGTAGAGCTTTCTTGGATGTTTTATTGAGCCCCGTGCTGCAAGACAGAATCTGTGTTAAACCAGCCTCACCACTGCTTTGCTCATCAAAGTCTTAATAGCTTTGCATATATTACAATGTTTTTTACATGCCTTGAATTTCCTTTTATTAATTGTATTGCGGATATTTTTAAAATATATGCTTCTTACACAAGTCAGTAGCTAACCTTGCCTAATTCCAACCAGTGCACCTGGAAACATTTTAAAAGGTTAAAGTGTGGTGTACCATAAAGAAGTTACTGAATACTATTTTTTTCCAGTATAGTGATGCTACTTTCTTAAAACACTTATCCATACAGAGCTCACAGTTCAGATGATGAGAAGAGGAAAAAAAATTTCCTTTACTTCTCTTATGAGCTTTATCCCATGTGGGTTACAACCTCAGAAGCCCCAGTGTGTACCTACCCAGCACAAATCTTAACACACATATCCTCACTAACTCTCTTTCATCTTCACTGTAATCTGGGTCTCCCATTTACTCCTTCCTTACTGGTTGAAATAAAATGTTTCTGTGGATACCCATCTGACTCTGAGAGACACTTTCAGCTAATAGCGAGGTTCACAAAAAGCTCTATGTTGCCCCATCATAAAAATTTTTAAGTAGCAGAATCTTAAGGTGATTTCTCTTATGAAATTTCCATCAGATTAATCTTGGTTTCTCTCTTTCTTTTTTTTTTCCTCTTTTTTATTTTTATCTTTTTTTTTTTCTTTTAATTCTTTCCACAGCTGTAACTTACACAAGTTACAAAAAAACACCACCGCCGGTACCGCCTCGTACCACTTCCAAGCCACTGATCTCAGTCACGGCACAGAGCAGCACAGAATCCACCCAGGATGCATATCATGACAGCCGGACTCAGAGGATATCCCCGTGGCAGCAGGATGGGCGAGGGATGTACAACTCCACCGACAGTTTGGACAGTAACAAGGCCATGAATCTTGCCTTGGAGACTGCAGCCGCACAGCGCCACGCGTCCGAGGGCCAGAGCACCTCCATACGGACCAGCGACAAGGCCATTTTAGTGACAAAAGCGGAGGAGTTTCTGAAGAGTCGACGTTCCTCTATAGGGATTCAGGTAGCCTATCATTAATGTCTGTGATGAATTTCTTGTCTTCTGTCTGTAAATAGCATAGAATGAGTCATTCAGCTTCACTGGCTCTAATAATCTAACAAACAACCCCCTGGCTGCTTAGTGTTAATTGTAATTCACATCATGGCAGCATGGCTGTGCAGAAAAGTCTTTGGCTAATACGCTGTACCTTGGAAGAAAATGAATGAATAAATCTCTAGGGAGGTTACCTGTCATTAACACTTGATATGAAAATTATACTGCAGTGCTACAGGTGAACAGCGTGTTCATCTCCTTCTCTCTGTGAATTCACAGTCCTTTTTATAGAACTAAGCCAGCTTCAAAATGCTTGACTGTATTTTTCCCATTATCTTTCTCTTTTGACTTTGGAAAATGTGTAATGCCACTCGATCTTCAATTATTCTGCCTAAAAAGAGCCCCCCTGCCCTTACTTGTAGTTGTGCTGGAAGGATCCTTGTATCAAGGAAGAGAAAGAAATGTGGTGTTGTAGATACAGCATATTTACAGACGGCAAGTAATGAAATTACTTTAATAAACACAGTCTTAGAACATTCTTCCATTTGTCCATCAAACCCCACAATATTTATTTCACCTGAAAAAATATGTGTCAGACTGTGGAAAGCTCAGTCAAGTTCTGTTTCAGGCAAATGAAATAAGACAATTCCAAATGCAAATTTTGATTACTATTCCTTCTACTAAATGAAAAATACTAGATAGCTAGCAATAGTCATTTGTTTAAATCTCTAGAACATACCAAGTAGTAATAAAAATTAGAAAGCTGAACTTGCAAAGGATGTGAAGTCCTTTGAGACAGAAGCAGAGGAAAATTTAAGCTTCTGTTTTGATGAATATTTCCCTTTATATCACTGGGGTTCACATCTATGCTTAAAAATATGTACTTTTGCTAGATCGGCTATAGATGAAATGCCATTTATTTCGTCATAGTTATAAGTGTTGCAGTGACAGCAACATAGATCGTGAGAAGGTAATAACCCATGTAAAAAAAACCCAGTGAGTGACCGTGTATTAGAAATATACAAAAATTGACATGGAAGTATATTATTTTCTTTAAAAAGTAATAATTCAATTTCCATTAATTTCGCAGTATAGTTAGAGAAAGCTGTTTGGGTTAAGCATGTCACAGCTACTGATTGAACTTCACAGGTTAACATTTTAGTGTGGTATAATTTTGTTGTTCCATAATGTATTAGACTAATGGGAAGGAATCAGCTTTGACAGCAACCTGTTTGCCCATTTCTCAACACAGAAGCATTTCTATCTGATTTTTCAGATGCAGAAGAGTAGAATGCAGTGTAACCGCAGTGGTAAAATATTCATATGGATACTTTTCAAATGTTTTACAAAGTAATTTGTATATCCTGAATTGTTCAGAGAAGGGGCTTAGCAGATAACACGGAAAAACTCAAAGGAGCAGCAAATAATCTTTGCTACCTTTTAGCCCCTAATCTGAAGCTTACTCTTCAGAAATAAATAGTATCTAGTGTTGTTCTTATCTCTTCTTAACAACAGCTGTGCACAATGGTGTTTATCAATGTTGGTGTCTTGATTTGGTCGCTCCTGATATTCCAGCAATTAACTCTGGAACTTTGATTACATCACTTGATCTTGTTTATTACTGCAGGTGATGACCTGAAGTACTTTTCACTGGGCTCTGACCCTTCTTTATATGTGCTGTGTTTAATAATATGTGCTTATAGTCCACAAAAACACCTGTGCAATGATTTACATGAAGGCAGCGGATCTTCCATAGCAACTTGTGATCTGATGCTTGGCCTGTAATGGTGGTCCTCAGGTGCATGCATGGAAAAAGAAAGATAAATACTGTTTTCAATAGTAGGTCTTAGAAGGACAAGCTATTTTTTATCTTTTGAGAAGTACAAGCTTCTTGGTTGTACCATTTGGCATTAGATAAGGTTATATTTGCAACAGTAGCCTAAGAACACATTCTGGTTGTTTAGAATTTTTTTCAGCAGTAAGTTTCAAACTTCACATAAGTAAAAAAAAATACATTTCTGCAGTATTTTTAAATAGGAAATGCATTTTGTTGTATTACTATTACCAGGTTTGTATGGAATGAAAACACGGGGTAGAACATTCTTATTGCAAACTACACAAATAGTAATTTATGCACTCAAAATACACTTGAAGTATTTAATTTCTTTTAGACTTCTGCATCAAAGTACCTTGTAAAAGGATGTTTTTTATTTGCATATTTCCTTGATTGACTAAATTACTTGTTTTCTCATTTGCATTCCATGCCAGGATAATGCATTGAATTTGCATTTATTTGCATTACTTAATTTGCTATCAGGATGGTTAATTTGTGCATTTTTTAATGTTCCATTCGTTTAACACATTGATGTGAGAATGCTTGCCAACGGAGTTCCATACAGGAGCAGAGAAGCACAAAGATACACCATGACCAACAGCGCTGGTGCATTGCAGAAATACTCTGGACCCAGCCTAGGGCTCCCAGGTCTTTGGTGTATATGATTTGTGTACATGTAGTGAATAGAAGTCCCTTTAGATAGTCCTGGCATATTTAGGCATGTGCCAATAGGATTGGTATTCACATGCACAGAGAGCCCAAGCTCCTAGGAAAGCACTGGACTTGGTACGAAGATCAGTAGCACCCTGTCTGCAGAGACAGAGAACAGCACAAATACAGTAGCCCATCTGATGGTATGTTAATCCTATCCCAGATGAGAATTTTGAGGGGGAAAAAAAAAAAAAAAAGAAAGCTTCAGAAACAAAGCTTTTCCAGCTGGTGGGTTTTGGGGATTTTTTTGGTTTTGTTTTTGTTTTTATTTTTCATTACCATATTTAAAGCAAAAGGAATATTGTCAGACGTGTAAGTAGGCACTGGGAAAAAATGTTGATTTCTATACTCAAATGAATTGCAAAATGCTGATTTTGAGATTAAAAATTTAACAATATTAAGAAAATCTATACATATAAAGAATAAAACTCTTGTAACATTAGTAGCAATAAATTTCATATCTGTCTTATGACAGCAAAAGACTAATCAAAGTATTTGAATTAAAACAGAAAGTAGAGATTGTCAAGAGTAAAATAACCTCTATGTCAGAACAAGCTTGTTGCTAAGACATTTTCCAGGATTTTCCTTAGTCTTTTGCTCACCCTGATATATATGCTAATGATTAACATTCAAAATCTGCTCTAGTTATAAACCATTTCATATTAATAGCATTTGAAATGTGAAATATATGAGGAAACATGTCAAGAAATTGCTCCTTATTTATTTCAAGTGTTTCAATACATACATCCTTCTGTCATACTTATGAAACATACATTCTCTGTTTAAAAGACATAAAGGCTTCTCAAAATGAACAGAAACCCCAGAAATGAATGAGATGGAAATTAATGTTCTAGGTGTGAAGGCTGATTCATGGTGGTATTTTTGGAGACAAGCACTAATTGTAGTGTAGAGATGAACTCTGTCATCTTCATTTATCATCAGGAGATGACGCTTTGAAATACCTAGTGGTTTTTTTATAATCTCCAGAATCTACATTAAACAAATAATTCTTATAAATCAAAGACTGTGACCAGGAGAATTAGTGCAATAATTTGCAGGCTGAATTTTTTTGTGCCAAAAGGGGATCTTCTGGATAATACTTATATATATATATTTAGTAACATTATTCATGTCACATGGTAAAAATGTTGTTCACAATATTCTTTAGTCTCAAACTGGAATTTCCCTTTAACATAAAGCATTTTTTACCCCCATATCACAGGTACTCAGATGAGCATCTGCATTTTCTTTGTACTGTTTAGTTATAACATCCTTGTCAGTGTTTTACTTCAGTGTATGCATATCCATCAAAAGAAATATTCTCATTGATTACACTGATCTTTGGATCATGAATGATCCAAAGTCTTAGAAGTAAGTGTTCTTCATTCTCCTCCTGAAATGACTCACGAAAGATTGTGTTTTTGTGAGAGAAGTGTGTGAAGTCCTTGGCCTGGAGAAGTCAGTGAATATTTGTTGGAGCAATTTGCTACTTAGCATTAATTGGACCAAAAAACTTATGAGCAACCTCTCCTCTGTGCATTATTTCTTGCTACAATCTCATTTTAGTTTGACATTCATCTTACTTCTATACTCTGGCATGTATTGTTAGCAAAAAAGGTATTTATTAAAAGACCAGAGAAAGTTTTCAACCTGTTGTATGATATTCTTGAAGTAATTAGCACTTGCTGTGCCATTTCATGTATTTGAGTAGTCCAGATGTTCTGTTGGGAAGTAGTGGAGCAGCAAAATGGAGCTCTGTGGTGAGGCACAAAAAATCTCTCAAGCATGAAAATGTAGATTTATTTTAGTGGATTTCTAAAAATTATTTTGAAAGAGTATACCTTTTTTGTCTGATAAAAGTATTCCATCACTTAAGGAAAGCAGTAGCACTGAGTACTGTAGTTTTATTTGAAGTATTTCCCCTACTTTGAAGTCACTGCATACGAATGAGATTTCCCTGTGCCTAAGAATGGTTATCTGAATTCACAATTACATATACTTGATCTAGTGTCAAATGTAGTGTTTTCTACCCTTTTTTACTGTTTTTATCACTGAGAAGCAAGAGAGGAAGGATAAATTATTTCCTTCCTGTATTTCATCAGAGATTGTTTATTAAATTCTAATAATAGAATAAATTGGTTACATCAGTGAAAACCCGTTGAGGGCAGTGAAGTCGCATAGGGAGAGACAGTGTGGACTGATGTTTATGAGAGAGAAGTGAAAGTCACCAGGTTAAAATCTGTTTTCTTATGCATTGAATATATTAGATTCAAGTCTCCCTTAGAGACAGTATGTATAGAAGCTTAGACTGGAATTTTTAGGATACTGCAATATTATGCTGCAGTATCCAGGTTTAAGTGCTTGTGTTTAAGAGCAGAATAATGCTATAATACAGAAATAAAGGTTGGGTTTAAATAGTTAAAGT